ATTGCTACTTCACTTGTTATTATTACTTCGCTATTATGGCTTCCATTAATTTTACTGTCTTTCGGTTTTCTCTTCCGCGAATAAAGGAATACAGTTGCTTGACGATTATATTTTTGTGATGGATAAATATAATTTTCATTGGCTGATATTAATTGCGCCTTTTTGGTTGATAAGTTCCGATTTAAAAGTTGGCTTTAAATGTGCTGTTTAGTTACATATGCCTTGGTCATCATCAAGTTTCATTAACTTTGACTTCGTTGATAAGAAATTGATTATTTTCGTCTATAAGACATTTTGGTCTTCCAGTTTCTTCATAAACCGTTGTAACAGCAGGATTGAATAAAATTAACACTCATAAGAAAATAATTACGGTTTGTACATATTGTACTTGCAAAAACACAATCTAAAAAAATATTTCTTAATTCAAAAAGCACGACTATCAGAAATAAATAGTTTCACTAACTTAATTGATACGGTGTAGTCACGGTCAAGATGAAATTAAAACCATAAATATACATGCTGAAACAAAACTAAATCAATCAAGTAAAAAGGCGTTCAATAAAAGTCAATGATGAATTCCTAATCGATTCATTCGTGTTCAATGGCCCACCTCAATGTTTACCCGGACTTCCCATTCTCTGAAATTAATAATTAAGTACCGAAAATGCCAATCATGAAAAGTAAACTGAACACGTGACTTACTAATGAAGAGGTCGCGTGTGCTCTAATCTTCGTGATCTACCAGCCCAGTTGAAGTCACGTGCCGAACAATCGAAAGTGTAACCTTACATGGACCGTCAACATGCTGCCGAACACTTATTATCGAGTGTGCGAATTGGTGGTCGAGAGGGTGGACTTCTAATGGGAACCTAATTTATCAGCCATATCCATTTTCGGATGAAACGAAAAGATAATACTATTCGCATGTCTGGACATCAGCTATCACATTAAAATTGACGATGCTGATTTATGTGCGCCCTCCTGCTAAGGTTCTTCTGAGTAATAACAGCAGCAAGTAGAGAAATAGAGAAAGTTTATTGAAATTCAATGTCAGGCTCAACATGAGGTATTTTTGTTGAAGGCTATTCTTGAAAGATTTTAATGATGAAGATGGTTACGGACATTTTCCCTAGAGTCAACTGCCAAGCAATCTTTCAACACTGGAAAGGAAACTTTCATTTACGGTTTAACAATCTTATTTAGTTATTTCTTCTCCTCATTTATTTAACATTCCTTAGTTATTTATACGACTATTAGATTTCTAAGCATTTAGTTTTTAGCCCTGCTTCTTTTGCTTTGGATTTGTTCGATTTTCATTGCATGAGCTTCGCCTTCGAACTGTTACATAAAATTAACAAAAATTTAATTTGTTTCTATAAATAATTTAATTATTTGGAATCATTTGCGCTATCAAGAAGCGATTTCTCGTCAATTCCCGTTCAATGTAGACAATACGATCAATTCAGCCTAACATCCTGGAGATTATTGACGTAATAATTATATTCTAAGAATACTTTCAAATCCATTTTTTTCTAGCTTATCTTCTAAAGGATTCTTCTAAAGTCCCGATGATGTGCCTTCATTTTGATTTTCACATTATTGTGGTCCCTGATTATATGATTGATCATCTAGTTTAAAATGAGCAATTGGAAGGAGTAGACAACATTTTAGATATAAAGTCAATTAACCGAAAAATAATTTTTGGGTTTTATCCAAAGAAATTATAAATCGACATCGTTTTGTTAACAAAAGTTGAATCTTAATATTGCGCATCTCTTTTGGAAGCCCTCTACATTTGCGATTTTGAAATCTTCTTTAGAAATTTTGTCATCACTTTGTCTTCTCTTCAACTTACACCAGATCTTTCAATAACCATGTCTGGTAATCATCTACCTTTCGCTTTTAAACCTACCTTTGCTTCATTCGAGAATGTCGAATGAAAAAGTTTTCGCACTGAGGAAGGTGAAAACCACTTCCGTAGTACAGACAAAGGGTAGGTAAAATAAAGTAGACACCCGCTGAAATCTCTTGGATGTTTTGCTTAGCATTTCAATCACCATGTCCCTTTACCCAAGATACTTTGGGTTGTTGCTCAATGTTTTCCATTAAGCAATCTTTATTTCTGAGAAAAAGGCTAGCGACCCAATCGGTCTTTCTGCCCTTGTTTTGTAGGTACATATTAATCTTGTGCTAAAGAAAAAAATTCTTATTTTGGGCTAAGAGCTAAATATCTTTTACGTTTTCCTGTTATTGTCTGGAGGGTTGGTTCCGCTGGGTTTGTAAGTTTTCAACTATCGTTGCTATAAGGACAAGAAAGCGGGATTGTGTCGTTTATCGTAGGACAGGGGAATCAGTAGGGTCCAGTTTAAGGGATAATTATTATATTTTGTTTGTGATTGAAGTGCTTTTTCGCTTATTTTAGTTTATTTTTATGGTTCGTAGAGCTGTTGGTTCGAAGCGTTTTGTAAATGCTCTTGGGGATGTTTTATTTTTGTCATAAGTCTTTGTGTCATAAGTGCGATTTGTGCTCTTGGTTGAATGTGTTCTTTAGCTTTTTTAGATGTATTCATTCTCAGTTACCCAATTGAATGTATGTATACCAAGTGCGTTCAAAAGTGAGAAGTTTTCATCCCGCTCTTGGTTTAGATTTATCCGAAGCGAGATAAAGTTTGCTGAAAGTTACACAAAAACTGAGACAAAAAGAAATTATAGATAAGTTCTATATTGCTGAGGCGATTCATTTTTTCATAAACTGTTTATTGGGAATTTCGTCGCAGAAACCCTCTAAGTGATAGTTCTTGATTACCTTTTGATAAATAATTCGTTCTCATTGCGAGATAAGAGCACTGTTTAACAATCTGTAATAAAAGACGTAAGAAAATTATGTTCTTTTTGACATTTTGACAAACATTTTTGAGTCGAAATACCCAACAAACAGTTTGTGAAAAAAAGCAATTAGCCTGTATTTAAACACGTTTTTTAATTAATAAATGAATCCAATTGAAAATGTATTCTGTGCAGAAATATTGTGCATACGAGTAAAAACTAGGAGGATTAATTCCAGGAGAGAAGCTAACTTTTTTATGAAACGGCTAACAACTTACTTTCTGTAACTGCCTCTATAGTACTGAAGAAATACAACGAAACGGCAAATTGTTCAGTTTCATTGGTTTAAAAGTTCAGATTTCTTGAGGAGATTTAGCTGAAATTTAACAACTTGACCTACTGGGAGAGAGATATTTGCTCAAATTAATCTTCAATACTTCTTCACATGCCTTTTTTATTTTCCGGAACGCCGTTTGAAGTTCTTTGAGCAATTTAGTGATATGTTCACAGAAATATTGACATTTTAGCTTAATTTTTTTTCGAAAATTATTATTGGCACTAAGCAAATTTTCAGTTGGAGTCTCAACCAGTGAATCGAAAGCTGGAATGTCTGTCGAATGAATCGAATACTGTCGATAACAAACATAGGCTTTTATAATACAAACTTTTTTATATAGAGTTAATAACGCACATCATCAATACACGCAAACAGAATATTCCTCACATGCTGTATTAAGACGCTGCAGCACAGTAAAGACAAACAACCAATACTTCGCTACTACTCAATAATGCGGTGAGCGCTAGAGTAAATGCAGCGAAGTCTCCACTTACATCATAGCGTTGTTTTAGCAAAGCAAGAGGGAAACGGAGGGGTGCGCGGGTGTTTGAAGGAGAGCTCAGATCAGAATCATCTCTCCAAGATTTAATAATAATTCATGAGCGCAGTGAATATAGTTTCTTCTTCTTTTTTGCACCGCGACAACCAGGTTTTTAGTATTATATAGTCTTGATATAAAAAATACTTTAATTAGATCATCAAATTTTTTTGCATGGCCCTCTTTTTTTAGAGCTCTGCAGCATGTTTGCACTTATTGCTCTGATGCAGCAGTACTCACTAAAAAAATTTACAATGTTTTTACTAAATTCCCATATGCTGAGAAATCTGCTTCAAAGAACATGAAAAGTTTTGACTAAGGGGACTAATTTTTTTTAAAACGCTCCTCGATGCTCTTTCATATCCTGCATGACTGGGAGGAGATGGTATTTAGAGACAATTGAATGATAATTCCGACATTTTCTTTGTATTTATTGAAATTGCCATACAAAATAAGGAAGGAAACTGAAATTGGACTCCCTTTCTCAACTTAACACTAGGTACCAATTGAAAGTAAATTTTCATTTTATATTATATTTATATATTTCAAAATATTTCACTTACACACAAATTTTACTGACAAAATGAATCCTGCCTATGGAATAGTGATGGGCGGATCGGAACTGATCCTACTCAGTGAGTAGGATATCGGAAAAGATGCGAAAGATCTAAACCTTTTAAATTTACTATACGAGTCTCGGGTGATAACGGATTATCAACGAAGCAACCTGTAGCGTGTAGCAGACATTATTTAAGATATTCTCCAGAAATAATATTATAAAACGTATTAAATTATAAAGAAATTGCACACACTTAAGTGAACATATGGAATTTATTTATTAAAATGAACTACTTTGTTTTGGGTCTTATGGTCCGGTTGAGAAGACCTGGATGATGAAATTGACGCGTCTTCGTTCTGTTCCGGCTCTTTTGCAGTGATTTATGACGAAACTCGGATCAATTTGAAATTTAAATCTATCTTATGCCCGTATTGCACCCCGAACTTTTCCTCRATTTATTGGGCAATTTATTAAMGGGCACCAGCGTAAAAAAGGAATTGCGCGGCGATCGATAAATGGTACAAATTATTGCCTACTTAAAGCAAGYTCAAGATTATTACGGGATTGYGAAAATGGTCTTGGATTTTTTAGAGTTATTTGTTATTTACCAACCAATTTGTACAATGACGAAGCCGGCAGCKATTATCRAAAAAAGGACAAGGAATTTTTCTAATTATTATRTTTCAGATGTTAAAAATCTACGATGCGTTCAAAAAATTTAGYAAAYTMATTMAAAAAATTAGCATGTTTKACGAAAATAATCYACACATCGTTAACAACACAAACCAATAAAACAAAGCGTTGAAATTTTTGTTGGTTTTGCTGAAATTGTACCAATTTATTGGGGGAACATCGATGACGGTCGCTAGTTTTCTCTAATTGTAGTTTGCTATATATGGATCGCGCTGTCGGTGGGAAACCCTGTATACTGCGCATTATTTTGTAAGAATCAATTAATTATGTCCAGATCTGATGTGTATTTAAAAAAAAAACAAAAAAACAATTGCTATCTGCCTAATAAATTAATTTTGTTTATGTTAAAAAGAAAGTAACCTTTTCTAAAGTTTAATGCTCATATTAATCATTATTACATTTGTTATTGACTTGCCATCAAGCCTCATTGTTCCGCTCTTTCGTTTTGGTATTTGTAACTGATCTGTTGACCCGAGACCCTACATGATCTAAATATTCAAAATGTCCCGACTTGCCCATCACTACTATCGAATAATTTACATACAACACAGTCGCATTATTAAACAAACCCCGAAATAAATATTAAATAAACAAACAATATATCAATAAAGCAAAAAAATCAGTTGTGGACTTACTTGGAATTGCTGTAGTTTCTTATCAATTTTGAAAAATGTACAGTTATTTTTATAGAAAACTACATGAAAAAGCTCACAAATATGTAATAAATTAAGTACGCAAATGTAACTGTTTGTAACAACTTGGACCTCAAAATACTAATTTAAAATTATCTACAGGGTGTTTCAGTTTAAGACACCATTTTTAGGAGTTTGAAAGTTCAGCGGACGTTCACCAAGAGATGCTCAATGCTAAATGTAAATTGGGTTTCCAAATTAATTAATTTAATATTGTTATGTGAATATTTGGTGAATACTGACTAGAAACAGAACACGTCGATTTTGATTGAAATTCTTTAATTTTTTTAATTAACTCGAGCCGCGGTGTTCCGAAACTGAAGCACCCCGTATATACCATACGTACATTCTAATATTAATTTCAGTACTTACCTTACGTAGCTTATAAGCTTATCTAAATGGTATGGCAGAATAATTCATAAGTACAGAAGTACAAACGGAGTCAGTTTCGATTTATCATGTGAATAATATTCAACAATGATAGTAAAATCAGATGTTTGTTTACAAATTCAGCGTTATTCCCAAACCTACTCAAATTGAAAAAAGTAGCGGAAATTAAGGGCTTCTTTTGGAGAAGCTGAACTATGAAATTAGAAACACGTTTATAAGAACCATAAACCAGCTGTGTGGTAAACTGTGAATGAACACGGATTTCTTGTCGGAGCACTAGTTTATTGCTAGCGCTCCAGGTTGGAGTGTGAGAAATTAAAGTACCCAAATTAGTTTTCAGGCAGCCACCTAAATCATGAATCACAGATAAGCCCACTGACAATTCAGTAGTTCCCTCAATAAAAATATATCACAGATTGCTATATCCATTTTACTTAAATACTATAACTAATCTAACTATACTAAAGCAGAACCGCTGACTATCGCCCCATGTTGTACTGATCTGGACTCTGACCTTCAAATCCATACGCATTGTAAGGATTTGAATGATGGTACATGTCCAGACCTTGTCCATTAGCTGCCAAAACATGGGGCGCATTTCCTCCATAGTATCCTGCTGGATAGCCATGATATTCTGTGTTCGTCTGATATTGAGAGTTTGGGTGAACTCCATGGCTAGCCAGCGCTGGATAGTTGTATCCAGTAGGATTGGAGTTATGCATTCCCATGTACCAGTTAGCAGCTTCTCTTCTTCCGGGGTAAGACCAAGCAGGTGTGCTTGAGAAAGAAGAAGGCTTGCTGGTGGCGACAGCTAAGGGGCTACTTATGGGGCTGACTATGGGCGCAGTCTGATCCAAATTATGGCTTGGTGGACCACCAAACACCCCAGAATTTGATGGCCCGGGGGTTCCGCTGTATTTTTGAGCCAGCTCCTCAATGCATTTTAGCTGGGTGTCTTGTGGTGACCCACTACTTGACGGTGTTAATAGAGTAGAATTCGAAGCTGAAACGTTGCTTGAAGGCGCTTCCAAAACTCCGCTAACCTCACTAGAACGAACCCTATTAACACCGTCACCAGACACCTGAGCTGGTGCTTGGGGAACTGTCGATGCTGCATTTTGCTGCCCGTCGTTCGATTCCTTCTGCAGCAACGATTTGGCTTTCGCTCGTCGGTTTTTAAACCATACCTGTAACAAAAGAAACATATCTACTATTAAATACTGCAGAGTTTAGGCGCGGTTTTGGAAAAAGTCGATTATTTCTTGAAATCTTTCACTGATACGACCACGGTGTATTTCAGAGCATACGATCGAAGTAGCATTTCATGTATATCTTCGGAAGATGCTCAATGAGTAGACAATTTACATTTACTATAAAAATATTTTGTGTTTCTTCTACTGACCAATTAATTTATTAGCCCTTTACGCAGCATAAAGACTGACAACCGAAAACATTTTTGTTATTCTGCTTTTTCTCGGTAGCTCATTAGCAAAAATGTAACAAACTTACTGACGAATAAATATTCGGACGCACTTTAATACAACTATATTAATACAAAGTTTAATCAGAAGTAAAAAAACCTTTCGGCTTTGACCTGCCTTTGTACGTTTTGCCTTTGAGTCCTAGTGGACTCAGTGAGCCTGGCAATATTTTGGGGTGMGAGAATTCCAAATTTTCATTTGATGACATAAAGTTTCTGTAACATTCAAGTCCGGACTGCTTGAGAGCCACGATAAAACTTTTTTAAACATATAAATGATAAAACAAATTTATGATCTTCAAGCCACTTTTTGATCGTTTCAGCTGCGTGAAAATCGCACCGTACTGTTGAAATGTGCAATTTTTAATTCCATAATTCCATGGATATTGTTCCATAGTTCGAATTAAACTTCTTGATAAGATTTGATGGTAGTTTTTGCATTTACAGTTCCACATATATACTCATATTTGGCAATGCGTTTACTACTCATTCATCCCCATATAATTTCTTCAAGAAATTTTACTGTATGTTTTAGAGAGTACTCATGATAGGCATCTGATTTTGTTCAAATTACTTTCATCATATTTTGATTTCTCACTAAAAATAACGGTACCCCGCATTTGCGTTGTCCAGGACAATTTAAACCTTTTTGCTTTTGGAAATCTGTAAATGGTGGCTTTTTCTGTGCCTAAATTGAAAGCCGATAAAAAATTATATTATTTTATATTGAACCCCATAAAATAAACCTTCTTTATAAAAACTGTAACCAGATTTGTCTTAACTGTATTGAGAAATTATAAGTCGTAGTTTTTTATCTTTTGCTTCACCAGCTGTTATTTTCTCATGTTTTTATGTGAGTGGATGAAACTTATCCAACTCAAACGGAAATATATTAATCTAAACACACTTGGTTTATTAGCAGATGCATGCGTAATGTTGATTTTCTCCGCCAATCAAATACACGTCCGAATATTTATTTGCCATGAACATTTTTACTATTTTATTTTGTAGTTGCTGAGAAATGAAATAGTAATCAGTTAACATGTTACTGTTTGATAGGGAACTTGTATGATACCCTATTTTTCAACTGCAAAGGAAAAATTATATTTAAAATTAACACATGATTATTCAACTAGAATTTTGGGGGTCGGCCGAACATATAGTTTCTAGGGCTCATTTAAGTAGTCTTAAGTCAGTTGTAAGTTCGAGAAACTTTCCATATTGCAAAAAATTTTTTTAAGAAATGTATTTTACGACCCGAAAAAAAATTGGCGCAGTCGGTAGCATCTTTTCAGTGCGGTTAAATTTCGCACGTTTTAGTCGAAAAATTGATCACTAGTGAAAATCTTCCTGTGTGGTTGCGATCTGAAAAAGTTTTAGAGAATGCGATCGTGCAGAGAAGTTCGATGTGAAGCAAGAGAAACCGGGGGCAAACATATCTGTTTAGACAGTCCACGAAAGAAACCTACAACAGCCGAGAAACTACAAAGCCCAGATTTGAGTGCGTTTTGTATTGAGTTTTTCAATAAACACTGTGTTTTGTGCAGTTTTAAATCGCATTCTGAACTAGAAGTAAATGAGCATTATAAACTTGGGGACGACTTGCCCTTTGGTTCACGAAAAACATGAACTTAAATCTACAAATCAGTTTGACAGCGGGAAAAACGAGATCTAGATAAAAATATTACATAGATTTGTTAAACTTGAATGATCCAGCACAAGTAAATAAGTCTTTATACCTAAGTGCCATCGATCTGGCTAAGACTGAGACGTTGCTAGCAATTGATAATACAGAATATATCAGTACCACTAAAAAATCACTTATGGCAGAGGTGAGCAAGAAGATCTATGTACAAGATTTTCGCAAAGAAAACAAGTTAGTCGATGATTATCTGGCAATTCTTAGATCCGTTGTTCCTTCGAAGCAACGGGATATATTCCGTATACTGGCTGTCCAGAAATAGTGCAGCCAAACCTTAAATAAAAATAGTGCGAGAAGTTACTGTAACACTTTTTCGAAAACTAAATAATAACCTATGATCTACAGAGCGTCAAACTTAAACTTTTTAGATTCTTTTTTTTCAATAACTTTTTTGTTGGTCAAATGACTGCTTTAAAATTTGGCACACTTATTGCTTATGATCATTTGTATTACTGGTCAAAAGTTCAACAGCGTATGGTTTTCATAAATAAAAGAGCGCTGGAAATTACGCAAAAAAGGGTTACTTGTTTCACTCTCTACAATGAAAACATAAGACAAAATCTACTTTTAAAATTGTTTTTTAACACTTCTTGTAACGATTGTTATTACCACTTAAAAGTACTATAACCAATTTTATGAAGCTGAAACCAATATTTTCTGACGATTGTATTTTATCACCCTTTAGAACTATTTACTTAACTTGACAAAGCCTGTAATCAAAAATTGCTTGTACATCATCTTTAAATTCCATTCCATTTATGCAACTAGAATTCGAAATTTTATGACTATAAAAAATTGTGTTAATGTACGAAGTAAACTTAAAAAAAATATATCATATTGCATTGAACTGGTAATAATAATAGTTATGAGCAGTGTGAGATAATGAACGTTTCGAAAATAAACAATTTTTTAAAGCATTATTTCAAATCTTCGGACATCTTTGGGCAAACCAGAAAAAGTTAAAACCACATAGTAATTTAATTTCGTAATAAATTTCCGCAAAACGCAAACTGACATTTTTATTAGCCTCGGAACGCTTTTTTACTTTATTTTTTCAATAATCTTAAAATTCCTTTATATACAATTTACATTGCTAGAGAATAAATGGCACAGGATAACTATGACATCATTATCGAAACGTCCAGCAAATTTGCTAGAGAAAATGTACATACCACGATCGATATTCTTGTTCGATTCAGAGTTATTGCCAAAAAAATTAATGGAATACGAAATTGTTTTTGGTGTTTTGTAGGTGCCTAGGTTAAATCAAGAATAATAAGAATTAATGTGTTATATTCCGGTCGCTTCATTTACATTTTTATATAGGTCTAGGACTAGTCAAACGCATATAAAACCATAAGAAAAGAAATAATTGAAAACGGTGTTAGAAAATACAACTTTTAATTCTTCATGCGGCACTTGCAATAGCTGTTTCAATTTCAGTTTGCAAAATAAAACTTATATTGTATTGGTCCGCATAAGCAAAAATTTAACACAGAAAAATTCGAGGATCGATGTGGCCACGGAGACAAAATAATCGGTCCATTTGGGATTAGAGTAGCTAAATTTCAGATATTACGTATTTTCTTCTCGGATCATATAGAAGGACAGGCAAATAATTTTTGCAAAATATTTTCTGATGGCCACTTTAGTAATGAAAATTGTATGCCTACATTGCCAAGACCAGTACTATGCTAGATATACGACTCGTGGGCCTAAAAATAAACATCCGGTATATTGCCGTATTTTCCCAAGAAGCAAATGGATACGAAATACGAAATAATCATTATGAGCGTTCGATTAGTCTTGCTTAGATTAAATCATCATTTGAATAATAATCCATTATGCATGATGGTCTTATTTTGAATGTCGTTTGTTTATTGAAACATTCACGCTTATAATTCACAAGTTGTTAAAATTTACAACAATGTAAATGCAAAAGCCGGTAAATAGCAATGGCAGTCTTAGGTAGCTCTATTTTAATCTGTAGGATCATATTTTCAAAACAATAACTTCATTCTTGAACTCAACCGTCAGCTAGTTATCTGGGGCAAACAATGGGCACTAAAAATTGTTTTCCGTCCAACTGCACCGGCCAATTCAATTCCAATCATCCAGGACTGACAATGAAATAAAATTCGAAAAAAGAAGTTAATCCCTTCCCTCGGAAAAAAAACGGCCGATGTACGAGGGCCTTCTATCGTGGCGGAACAGAAATCTTTGGCAACTAACAAGGGTGGTTGGCTCCATTCAATTTCGGATAACTGTATATATTTTATTCAATACAATAACACAATGGGTCGGAACGAACCCACTAGGGCTGTTTTCCATTAGCGCAGAGGATTATCAGGGGTTGTTCCAGTGACGTTCACCCCGCCTTGGCCCTTATGGGCCCCGTTGATGCACTGAGCCCTATATGAAATAACTATTACCAAAAGGCGGGTAATGCCGCCACTATGATATAGGGAAATATTGCCGGAATACGTGACAACTGTCCATCAGACGTATAGCATTACGGAGGTAATCTGGGCTTAAACTTTTTTCCGGGATCTTTGACTTTTTAAGAAGCACGAGTAACAAGGGCACGTTTGAGCAACCTGTCCCATATTTATTTTTCGGATAATTGTTGTCCTCCTCAGATTATCCACAGTTATATAACAACTTAGAAGAGGGTAGTTAGAGAAATCGTGTCCAGTTACTGGCGTTATTATTAATTAGCTAGCAATTTTTATTGTGCCTTCTATATTTCCAGAAACATTCTTTGACTGTTTACTGCGAATCTTTTGCGAAAATTTTCAAATAAGTATGAGTAATATATAAATACCTAAGCAGTTTTTCCTTTACTTTTCCGCAGGTACTTGGAATGAAAACGCTTATTGCTCTTGTGAGCTCTAAATTATTCAACGTATTTAATTAAAAGGATTGCTGCTGCATAGTTTAAAAATATCTTTTACTAGCAAACAAAGTTTCAAGATTGAGCGTTACAAAACCTGTTAGAATGCAAA